AGGGTAGGTTGAAAGATGTGTACATAAAATCCGGCGGTCTTCATCAACGCTGCCACTCCTGGGTGACGCGGGCCGTCTTTGTACACCATTGAACAATATATATTACACCTCAACTTCTCATCCATGGATGTAGCATCATTCCAGAGAAGGTCCGCACGATGCGCGTAATGTGACATCACTAGCACGGACCGATCAATCCGGTCCATAAGTGGTATTTGTGCAGACATTTGTATCTCAACTAACAATAAGAATCATAATGAGGTATTTTATTTAATCAGATTATAAATTAGATATAAATTTTTAATGAAACTATATCAATGTTATGTATTACGGAGTACATTGTAATATATTTACGATTGAAATTGTAAATTTTCCACTGAACAATATTATCATCATGCCAGAAACTAGAAAATGACTAGTTCTAGACAAAAGCTTTGCCAGAAACTAGAAATGGACTAGTTCTAGATGCGATTGTGATAATTTTACCAGTATAGTACAATTACAATAAATGTACCGATACAAATTTTAGACTTGCAACTAAACAATACTCTCACCCTGCCAGAAACTAGAAAAGGACTAGTTCTAGACAAAACTTTTGCCAGAAACTAGAAAAGGACTAGTTCTAGACGAGTTTGTGATTATTTTACCAGTATAGTGCCATTGTAATCAAAGAAACACTATAAGTTATGAACTAATTATTATTTTTATTATTTGTTTACTAGGACATATATCAACTACTTCCTCTGTTCTTTTTAATTGCAACAGTACACTTTTCACGCATACCAACACACAAGTTTGAACATTAATATCTTCAAAAAAATTCAGTTTTTGAAAATTTACAATGAGAGAAATTTAAAAAATAATAATTTATAATGTATTAATAAATAAAATATAGTCAAAGTAGAATATGTGAATAGTGCAAAAAAGTCCAATGTTGCAATTAAAAGAGAACGAAGTTAGTATATTAATAACAATTAAGATTAGTTACATATTAATATTAAGTTCTTCTAAATATTCAGACAGACATAATAGAATAAGTGCAAAATGTAATCATAAACAGAATAAAGATATAATTAGGCGTCTAACCTCAATTTGAAGAACATGGAAATTTATAATTAGCAAAAACACTTGTTTATTTTTTTTAAACCGAAATTGTGATTTTGTAGTGGGTTAAATATAATGTTGAAGGTATTTAAAGAGGTGATGATTGAGATTGTGGAGTGAACTCCCGTACAAAATCTGGACGGTTGGGATTGTTTTATGAAATCTAAGGGTTGAGAAAAGCAAGGAGAAAGCATAATCCATGTCTTATTTGGTCAATCAGGAGCATCACAAGTGTGTGCGATAGGGAATTCAAAACCTTCTGACATGTACTGTAGCCACACCAAGTCTGCACTTTACTCATGCGCTCAACCGTTTTTTTCTTTTGAATTCAATACAATTAAAACCAACTTTCAGATTAGAGGAATCCGAAAAACTGCATCCTCTGACAATCCTTAACCATTGACCTCGTTTCTGCGACGAAATGGAAAAGTCCCTGGAAAACCCTACAAAACTCAGATTAGCCACCCCCGTTTCCCGTATTTTCATACCTTAAGTCTGACATTCGTATTTTGGGAATGGATGCAAAAAACTCCCGTAAATCCATCCTTTCCTCTAAAAATATGGCTAAATTAGTAAGATCACATCTGACAACCACACCATTAGTGAGATCATATATATGTCATTATTTTTCAAAGAAAAACATGCAATTGACTTTTAGACAAATGCTCATAGACTTTACTCGAATTTCCACTCATCATGGTATAATGCAATCAATTGTGGAAACCAAAGGGTAATAAGGACCATTATTGATTAATTTCATCTGGTTAGGCTAACATATTGAGGTTTAACCAATTTAACTATAGTGCACTGATTTGTATAATATAAAAAAGGCCATAAGTGTTACCATGTAGATTACATTCAATTCACCATTTAAAACTACCACTCTAACCTTGTATTCATGGATGTATCACATATTGATGCATTCACATAAGGTGTGCAACACATTTGGTAACAAAGGGCATCTCTCTCCAACACAGGCCCTTGGACAATTAACATCAAATCATGTACCAACTTCACAGTAGCGCAAAAAAGAAATCCATATAATACATAACTATTCACATAAATGTAACTACTGAATATGGTAGTTAAGACAATGTCAAATGCACAAAGACAATACAACTTAGTCATACGCATTCTAAAACAATGTACACTAGGAATGGGAAAAACAAGAGGCTTGTTTGACTTTTCAGTGATACTTGGTGCTTCGTCATTAGTGGGGTTCTTCATGAGATCGATAAAAACATCGAGACTTTAAGAAGATTAATGTTAGGGGACATTAAATGTGTATGTTTTACGGGACTAGGTTGTAAACTTTCATTAGTTGATGATCACACGTGTAGCTTTTCAACTTCCAATAAATGTGCATGACATTAGAACGTCGTCTCTAGAATGTACATGTTTAATGTCCTGCAAATATTACTCACTTAAAAAACTCACTCCACTTCCTTGGAAGTTGCAATCTATCTGAAGCAATTGTAGCGACAAAACGAGAACAAAAATGATAGATGCATATAACACAAACTATATATATACATGGGCAAGGATATGATCATACAATAGATTGATGTCTAGTTTTTTCATGCAAATTATTGCAAAGAACAATCATTGCAAGTGAACATTGGAAACATGGAAAAGAGAAACGCAACAATACTCTTTTCTGAGAGTTCCCGTGTAAGAACATAACAAATAAAATGGATGACAACTCACCAACACATCAACTAATGCTGGATAAAATTAGCCAAGAACTCAACATTCAAAACTATAAATTCACAAAATAAATCACAGTGGTGAGATTTGACGCAGAATGCCCTTCTTGTAGCAGTCTTTCTTATGAAGGGATAATTGGATGAAATTCCAAAATCTCTATAGTTTTAAGTTCTTTAATTTCACTTGAATGGAAAAATATGCCAAGGAACAAGGATTTGAGATAGTTGGTATAGTCATATCCCATTCAAACATTAATATTGTAGAATCATTATGCACATCACAATATATGATCTATGTATTATCATTCATATGTGTGCTGTATTGCTTCGATACATAGTTATCTTCTTACATAAAGACGTCCGGTAGCAATACACACCATATATAAATAAAAAATTCAACGATACATGAAATATGAAATCTTAAAATCCTACAAATGTTAAAAAATAATTTTCTTCGAGTTTGTAAACTCTAAACGACATATCATGACTTAAGAGCTATACAGTATGGATGGATACCCTTTTCATGGAGAAATCACAAGTTAATAAAATAGGGCGAGTGAAAAGTTTCAACATATTTTCTACTAAAAAATACTACATTTTTTTGCAACATATTGGGGCTTTGGCCCTAATTTTTAATCGTCCAATCATTACATCCATATTGTGGACAAAAAAACTTACACTCTATGACATACTTTATGTTTTGAGGTTCCTCATTGACATTGAACTTATGTCTCAAGTTTTGAATTGATAAAATTCCAAAAATGAACTTAAAAAGTTGCTAATGTTATCTAGCTCATATGTTATTTCGTTTACATGCAGATATTGGACGTGATTTGTAAATCATTCATGATTAATTAAATAGAATATATACTGTTATGTGATAAATTATTTAATAAATTGAACTAAGATTGGTTAAACTAAAAAAACAAAATAAATGTTTTGAAAAGTGAAAAGTCATTTATTTAAATTTATTAATTGTCATAACAACACAAAATTATGAGTTTTAAAGCGTATGAGCTATTTTATTCTACATGTAATTGTAACTATAATTGTAACATGGTTATTGTATATGAGTCATTTTACACTCTAAAAGCTACTTCTTTTGTTCCAATATTATCTTAATTCTTTTCTTTTTTGTCCATTCTAATGCACACTACTTTTTTTTACCTTTTAGTAAAGAATTTATGATTCACAGCATTTGTCTGAATTTTATCTATTCTCTGCACAAATTAGGTCACATATTTCAATCTTTCTTAATCTGTTTGCAAAGTTAAAATGATAGATAATATTGTGACGAATGGAGTACTTAATATTTGTAAATAGTTAATTTACTAAACATTAGTGACACAAACTCATATAGAGGCCGTTTGTCAGCACTGTTTTTCGGCTTATCAACCTTATCAGCCAACTTTTTCACCAAACACGTAACTTTTGGTTTAGCGCGTTGAATTTTGTAATAAGCAGAAAAAGTAAGGTTTGAGTTACTTTTCTGGCTGTATTGACTGAAGTTACTGTAGATGACCATTTTAGCTATTTTTACATATAATTTTTTCTTTATTTTATTAATAAAATATATTTTAAAAATAATTTTTTCTTAAATCAGCAGAATCAGCCTATGCAGCCACTTCATCCAGAACATCATAAATTTAAGCAGAATCAGCTAAAACAGCCGATTTCCGTGTTACCAAACGGGCTCTAATAAATCAACCAAAACAATTAACACAATGAACTATTGGCCAATTATTCTCATAATAAAAAGTGAAATCAATGTTTTTTGAAAGAAATGAAATCAAATTTTTAAGAGATAAGGGTCAGATAGGGTCGCGAACTTGAAAAAAAATGTCAAATAAGGCCATATTTAGGATGCTCTGTCCGGCCGACGCCATTTGGTGTGGTTCCCGGTAGAATTTTTTGATGATTTTTTTTTGAGAATCTTATTCATCAAGTCTAGTTTACTCATATCAAATTTGAACTAAAAATTTAATCGGGAAGGCATTCAAATGAATTTTTGAAGATAACTGTACCGTTAAAAGCGCAGTTATCTTCATGAATTTATTTGAATGCCTTCCCGATTGAATTGTTAGTTCAAATTTGATATGAGTAAACTAGACTTAATGAATAAGATTCTCAAAAAATTCATCAAAAAATTCCACCAGAAACCACCCCAAATGGCTCGGCCGGATAGAGGATCCTAAATATGCCTTATTTGACTCTTATCCCAATTTTTAATTGTTGGCAAACATACCTTAAAAGAAGACCCAATAATAAAAACAGAGGGTTGCTGCTTGGCCCGATCCATCCGGCCTACATGATCGACCCTCTCACCATCCACCGCCAGCTGAGTTGTTGACCTGATCTTAACGTAAATATCCGCATTAAGATAACCGTGTCACCAGGCTTCACCACGATTGAGGATTTGAGGTGCGATACACTGATTTATGTGCTTCTGAAATTTGTCCTATTTTTAGCGCCCTTCTTCTGGGGTTTGTTCCAGTGTTTTCTGCTACATGTGCTGAGTTTTATTCTTCGTGATTTTTTATTATGTACACTATGTGCTTTTTAGTTGATTGTGATTGATTGGTCTTGAATATTTGGCAAAGTAGTCTGTTTCTTAATTTTTGAGGTGGTGTATGCTTGTATGGAGGAGGTAATCTTATTGAAAGTAGACTTTTTGAAGGATTAGGTTAAATCTTTTTGACTGCTATCAATTCTTTCTTCGTATTAGGCATATGATTTTAATGATGTTTTTAAAAATCTGTTCTTTTGCTACATGATTAGGTGAAAAGTTGTGTGCTTGCTAGATGGGTATGGGTGAGACTGGGAAGCGAAATCGTAGGCATGATGGGGACAACAAGAACCAGAAAAGGAGGACAGAAAGAGATGAGAAGGGCGATGCTGAGCTGGTTGTTTACAGGATTTTATGCCCTGCTAATGTTATCGGAAGTGTTATTGGAAAGAGTGGGAAAAACATAAATTCCATCAGACATAACACTGGTGCGAAGGTTAAGGTGGTGGACCCCTTTCCTGGCGCCAAGGATAGAGTTATACTCATCTATTGTTATGTAAAAAATAAGGAAGATGTTGAGGTGGATGAGGAATTCAACGACAGCAGACCACTTTGTTCTGCACAGGATGCTCTTCTTAAGATGCATGCCACAATCATGAATTCTGTTTCTTCTCTTGGGGAATCTGACAGCAATCAGAAGGAAAAGGAAGTTTGTCAGCTTTTAGTTCCTACCAGCCAGAGTGCAAATGTCATTGGGAAGTCTGGGGTTACCATAAAAAAGATGAGAAGCAAGACTGGAGCAAACATCAGAGTAACTCCAAAGAATGCCAGTGATCCTAACCATTCTTGTGCATTGGAGTTTGATAATTTTGTGGTGGTAAGTATTACATTACTCAAATGTAAATAGCTAGTGCTTTATTTGAATTTCAGTTTCTTTTTTGTGATTCTTTAATTAGAAAGGTGCTTTTTTAAATGCATTTTTTCTGTTTAATTATCGTTTTGGTTTATGTATGTGTTTTGATAATTTCTTTGGCTAGTATTATATTGATTTCCCTGATAAGTTATTGATTGATTTAAAAGTATTTCACTTTGAGTTTGTTAAATCTAAAAAGATGCTTAGGTTGAAGGATTTTATTGTTGCTTGTTTGCATTTTTTTTATCTGTGTTAAGTATTAGTGGCATGGTAATTTAAGATAACCCATAAGTCTGGCACTTGTATAAAGTGTACTCTAGCACTTCCATAATTTATGTATGATATATTCATGATATGCATTCTAAATTTGCCTAGATTGCTGGTATGTCGGAGGCTGTTACGAAAGCAGTTTTTGCAGTTTCTTCAATCATTTACAAGTTTGCACCAAAAGAAGAGATTCCTCTTGATACCACAGTTCAGGAAATCCCTTCAAGTATTATTATACCATCAGATGCCCCGATATATTCAACTTCTGGCTTATACCCGGGTGTAGATCCTATAGTCCACACGGCACCAGTTTCTTCTGTTTTAGGTTCACATTTGCAAGAGTTTCCAGGTTATCTGGATGCAGGGAGTACATGGGCAGATTACTCATCTGCTTCTCGAACTGAGGAGTTGAGAATCAGATTATTGTGCCCATCCCACAATATTGGGCGTGTCATTGGCAAGGGTGGAAATTCAATCAAAACCATACGACAGGCTAGTGGTGCTCAAATTGAGGTTGGTGATGTCAAAGCTGAACCTGAAGAATGTATCATCACTGTGATCTCTAAGGAGGTACATCTTTTCTCATCTTCTTTGGTCTAACTGTGAATGAATGATATAGTTTTAGGTTGAAGAAAACATTCTCAGTTTAAAATCATTTGGCAGTTTTTGTGTGTCAGGGGGGGTAAGGTGTTCGTCATTGTTCTAAAAATCGCTCTAGGCGCCCGACTAGTCCCCGCCTAGGCGCTAGGCGGTGGTCGGGCGTCCCGATTTTGGTCTAGGCGCTCCGACTAATTGAATCGGTGCCTAGGTGAATTCGTCAGCCGTCTAGGGCGCGTAGTTGCCCGCCCAGAGCGCTTAATGGGCCGCCTAGGCATCTAGATTCATCGAACATTTTTTTTTGCTTTTTTATTTTAGTATCCTAAGAAATATGTACCTTTAACTTTGACAATACATGTAAGGAAAGCTACTAATGAGTAAGTGAGTAGATATAATATATTATTAAATGTGATAACTCTATCATTCATGCATGTTAATGTGTATGTGTGTGTATATATTTTTTATACACACACAAACACAACATTACTAATCATATTTATGCAAAAATATTGATAAAACTACAATTTCGATGTCTCCGATTAGTCCCCGCCTAGCCAACTAGGCGCTAGGCACTGGGCTGGCGCCCGACTAGCGCCTAGCGCCTTTTAGAACATTGGTGTTTGTTATCCACTTCTCAGCTTCTTAGCTTATGCTCATACATGATACGTCATATCTATTATACGTAGTATTTAATATAATATGGACATTGTGTCATCTACTTTCTTCAGCTATATCACTTTTTCATTTCAACATTATCTTTGTTTCATCTGTATTAATTACTAACAGGGATGTCCTTGTGCAGTCAGTTGATGATGTCAAGTCAATGGCAGTTGAAGCTGTGCTATTGCTGCAAGGAAAGATAAATGATGAGGATGAAGACCGTGTAACTTTAGGTCTTCTTGTTCCTTCTGCGGTTATTGGGTGCCTTATTGGTAAACGTGGTTCTATTATAAATGAAATTCGAAAACGAACTAAAGCTGATGTTAGGATCTCCAAAGGAAAGAAGCCCAACTCTGCAGATCCAAGTGATGAACTTGTAGAGGTTTGCCCTCTGGTTAATGCGTGTCTCTGTGTGTTTGTGTATTCAATTGACTTAAGAATCTAAATGTGTGTGCCATACTTTCTGGTTGCATAATTAGGTGGTTGGGGAAGTCAGCAAAGTGAGGGATGCGCTTATCCAGATTGTGCTAAGGCTCAGGGCTGACGTTCTCAAAGAACAAGAAGGAGAGCAGAATTCTTCTGCATTTCCTGATATTTTACATGCTAGTGGAGCCCATGTTTCAGTGCCTTCAGTTTTGCAAAGTATTCCTCAAGTTGCTCCTTTGAGATATGAGCGGAGTACTGAAAGTGGGGCTGGAATTTATTCTTCGAACATTGTTTATGGACCCGAGTTTCTATCGGTACGCAGCACACATTGTCTGGATTCTTTTATATTTACTCATTTTCAAGATCATTGAATACTATGAAGGTATCTCTAGTCCCTGACTGCAGAGTTAACCTTTTATCTGAGTCTACATTCCACAACTAAAGGCCTAAATGAAAATTTTAAAACACATAATTAGGAAATGTCAGTGAAGTTTGAGTGTTATTAAGTCATTCTTTCCCTTCTGAGTAAAATGGAGTGTGATTTTATGCAAGGATGGTTTGGCATGGGCAATTAATGATCTTGATCGTGTGATGTCACATAGTGGCAGCTAATGCTCAATTTCCATAAAGGATGGCCATCTATTGTTTGAAAAAGTGATCATCTTTCGGTCTTTTACTCAGTAAATGCAATCTTTTATTATAGATGAGTTTACCCATTACATGGTCTTTAACTCTTGATTTTAGAGTTCCAGAGTCCAATACACGATTCATATTAGTTTTAACTTTAGGCACACATGAGCTAAAATTTAATTAACACCTCAGGCTGTTTTTGTTCCGGGTGGCGGGTTTGGCTAGGTAACATAATGGAAATGTATCGGACTGCAAATCCTGGAATGACGGTTTGACCCCGTCCTTGGCCTCGGGGAGTGGCGAGCAGCACGGAACTTGAATCAATCAAATCGTGACATTCACCTCAGATGCCTTTTTAGATCATGCATACACAGTACACACATATAGATATATATCAATCTATACATATTTTATGTACACGCCCATGCACAATGTTCGATTGAGAAGTTGATCTCAGAGAGAAACAAAAACTGGTCATGATCATTGATCTATAGATGGTTTATAGGATGGGAACATTTATTAAAGATAAATTGTAGTGGCATAGTTGTCAATAAGAGGACTTTCTAATGAAAAATGCAGTGACATTGTCGTAAATAAGGTTAAAGCTTTTTGTGCATCATAGTATTGAAAAGTGGAGAGTTATATGCATAATAGTGCACCACTAATTATTTTGAAATACAGTGATGTCTGAAATGGGAAACAAATCACAGTTCCATCATTTTCTAGTGTGTTGAAGGGCCAAGATTTATTCTTTTGATTCACAACGGTGCGCATTTATCTTTCGGGTAGTGCACTTCCTGTGGTGGCAGAAAAAGTTGTATTTACAATACTGCATTTTTTTATTTTCTTTTCTGTATTGCTGGCTGCTTAGAGTCCTTAAATCTTGAATCCAATGACGCATATTCATGCATATTCCTCTCTTGAGGTACATATCTCATTCGTGTATAAATAAATAAACATATGTATATAACCTCTTTTGTGTTGGAAGGTTGGTGAGTATGGAGACAATAGCCATGGTTTGTCGTCAGCATATTCTCCAAAACGTTATAACAGGTATGTCGCCTTAAACTCTCTAGCGTATTTCTAGTTTTTGTGAAATGGTTCTTTGTTGTATTTTTTCTTAATGTCAGATTCGTATTTCAAGCAGATTACCTCCACCTGCCCTGGAAGTGCTTATACCTGCTCATGCTATTGGTAAAGTTTTGGGCAGACGTGGAACTAACTTAGACAACATCCAAAATGTGAGTATTCTGATGTGTTTAGTATCTTCTTTTTCTACACTTTGCACCTTTCTTCTCTTCTCCAACATTCCATCTTCTACAGTTAACAAAATGAGTTTAAATGTTATCTCATTGATATATTTATTTCAGTTTCCTAATGACTTCTCTGGCATTACTAAATATTCTTACAGATATCTGGAGCGTCTATAGAGATCACTGATTCCAAATCCTCCCGAAGTGACCGTGTGGCTCTAATATCTGGAACACCTGACCAGAAACGTGCTGCTGAAAACTTGATCCAGGCATTCATAATGGCCACTTAATTCATACCCCCACTTCTGAGGTGTCCACCAGCTTTATCTTTAGAATCGACTAGGCTTTTTTAATGTTGGGGGGTGGATTGCTTAGGATTTTTCTGGATTCCTGCTCCTCAGCACATATCCAATATGTTTCAGTGCTTGTTGTGTCTTCACCAAAATAGGTTTCAGGCGATGAACTGTTGCTAGCTAGGGTTTCGCTCCATCAATGGTTCCAATAGAATTTCACAAGATGTTTTATTTTCTCAGCGTTTTAATCACAGATCCGATCAGGTTGACTGACTTCTGTCTTGTCTTCAAATTGCTGTGCACAAGCTTAATAAGGATCCTTTGTGATATCTAAGCCATATATGTGGCTTATGATATTTTTTCATTTTCTTCATCATCAGTTTCTTCTGAAACATCTTCTCACTTGTTTGAACTGTGGCTTGTCTTGTTTGTTTCTTCCTGGCGTGCTCTTCATAACTATTTGCACAGGTTCAGATTGATCTCTCTGTCTTGCGTGACGGCTACCAAGTTTTTTCTCCCATTTGAATATCATGCTTGTCTTTAAAAGGGTCTACATAAAACACAATACTCTTATGCTCGACCCGTAAAATATTATCTGACTTTACTCTTTCCTTAATACATTCTATTTTCATAAGCTCCTTACAACTTTCATTTCTTGCTTCTCATATGATATCCATCATGCACCCACTGACCAACTATATTTAGAATAAATCAACTAGAAACAATAATAATAATAATAAAAGAGCTAAAGAGCCTACACTTTTCTGTTCTAGACCTTCAGATCTCTTGAAGATCTTTCCCTCTTATGTAGTTATTCCCATTCTTATCCTCTCCGACAAACATTATGGCCCCATTCGGGATTACGTTTGCCGTGTTAAAAGCGCCTTTTTGCCCAGCGCAATCTTGAACATTGAACAAACTATATTTCTATTCAAATTTCAAAAGCTAATTTGAAACGGGAAAATCCACCATAATTCAAAAGTGAGTGCGAGATGGTTTTGGCATTTTAAGCACTACTTTTGAGGTTAACTATTTCATATTTAGAAATTTCAAAATTTTACATCACACTTCAACTCTAATGTCCAAGATTTGTATCTCTTAAAATCACTTCTCAGCGCAATTTCCTAATTGTAAGTGCTTTTAAAACAATGAGCTTTTTCCAAATGCATCCTCAACCTGAATTCGGCCTAAGTCAAGCTTCATTTTTTAATTTCCAAAACACTGGGCTATTTTGTCGAACACTGTTTTGGTGTGTAATTGTGATAAATCAACTTCCTACTAATATTATTATTTAAATGTCTGCCATAATTGTTATCTCTTGTACTTTCACACATGCCTTCCCTGAAATCTTATTGCTAGGTTCCTTTGGTTTTAATGCTCACATGAAGTAGATTTTAGTTAAAAAAAAAAATTATCCCTTAATCCAGGAAGTAACTTATTTCTTGAAACCATATAGCCTTTTCTGCAGTAAAAGAAAATATTATTTAATCAAATGAAGTGAAGCAACAGCTTAACTTTTCTGTATTCAATCAAAACTTCCAGAAGTTCCGTCTTATCCTGTGTTGTATGGAAATGTAGGAAACTAGGGAAGTATGAAACAAAAAACATCACCTTTTAATATAAAACAAATATCACGGGTGTTTTAGAGATTTTCTCTAAAGTTCCTGAAACTGAAATACTATTTCTTAAGAATTTCTGTGCTTCATAGGTCTTATCAGTTATCATTGTAATGTAACATCAGCTAATTTGTTTAAATACCTCAACCGACTCCGAAAAGAACTTTTGAAGATGAATTTGAAGAAATTTGTGCCTGAATCCGTAGTGATCATCACAGAGAATTCTTCTTCATCCACTATCTAGGGCTTTGTTCTGCTTACATCTGTGACTTTCCTCTATATCCCATTCACTCGTTGCCTCTTTGTTCTCTTTGCATGCTAGAACTTTACAAATGTAACACTCCAGGCCTGTTCTGTGGCTTTGTTACCCCCTTCATAGTATTTATATACAGGGAAAAAATATCTTCATGTGCTAGATATAACGCTCAATATCTCATTCCTACAATGATATTCAAAATACAGTGGCTAAGATTTTAGATTTCGGAATTATGGTTAATTAGTGCCTTTTTTTGTTTTTGCTTCTTTTTTTTCTATTGTCGTTAAAATCCCGGCTTAGTTGCCAAGCGCATCTTGAGTGCGAAGGTTTTCCTCTCGCCTAGGCGTGCCTAAATTCACTCAGATCATTTGCAGCTCTGTCTAATCTCCCACTAGATGTTAGGCTCCAATCTTCCACTGGTGCTTTTCTCAATGTTTTGTGCGTGTGGAAGCTTAGGTAGATGTTTATGAAACTCCTTTTTCATCATTGTTTAGTAGAACATTTTCTAGAGTATAAAAAATTATCGCATAGAATATCAGTGTCATGCTCTTCCTATCAGTATGCAACCAATTCTCCTCAACTAGTTGGCCATCCTTTTGGGTATATGAAGTTCTTATTTATTTTTTTTGCCGAAGCCAGTGGAGCTTCATCCTAATCATTTCCGAAGTATGATAATATCTAAGTTTTTTCTACTTTAACTGGAGGCCAGCAGATTTAGGCTTATTAGTTTATTCTATAAACTTGTGGTTATGTATATTTATGTCTTGAGTGTATATATTTCCTCTGATTTGCTTGAATTTAAATGGCACTTAAATTTTCTTGAATTGATGTCAATGACAGCCCTTCGTATTTGATGCCCATTTAATTCCCTACTCCGTATTTGACTATTTCCAACAATGTGAGATTGATGGGTTCGTTGTTGTGCATAGTAAAAAACCCAAAACTCCCGCATATGAGTACATGCATTCAGAACCTCTCATACTTGAAAACTTTTCTCAACTTGAAGAACTATGCACTTTTGGATGCTTGATAGTGGAGACAATTAATCCATATCTGTATTTCTTTTCGTATTGGCTTTGGCATGTTGTTAATTTGTTATGATGTTTGACTTACAGGTCACAAAAAATGATTTTCCACAGTATTTAAAAGATGCAGCATTTATTTGAAAAGGTAAAATATGCTTTTTAAAAGAAAGGAATTTAATTTATTTGGAACAAGATTTCACTCCGGTTAATAGAAACCTGAATGGCTGAATATATATATATATACATACTGAGAAGAGATTGGGGGTTAGTGGTGACCATAGTTCCAGGACTGGCCAGGCTGCAGTTCCAGTTGGCTGGTGCTTGGTTAGAAACTCAGAACTGGTCCAGCGGTTTCAGACTTCAGAGTTGAAATCGTGAATGAAGGGTCTGTTATTAACATTATTATTTTTAATAAATATATTATATTATTCTGGTAGTTTATATGAAAAAATATTACCCTAGCAGTCTAGTAGTAATAAAACCGAAGTTAAATATGCGTGAATTCTATAAAACGACATGATTAAATGGTATCCAAACAATTATTATAATATTTTAAAGGTTTAAGGGTCATATAGAGTATAGATCCTTTAACTAACTTAAAAAGTGCAAATCATCTCTTATATAAGAAGCTCCCGATAGAATTTTTTGATGAATTATTGAGCATCTTTTTCATTTGGTCTAGTTTACTCATACCAAATTTCAGGGGCGGCGGCTGGACAGAGCCTTCTATATAAGGGAGGATTTGCATTTTTTAAGTTAGTTCGAGGGTCTATTTGACCGTTTAGTCTATTTTAAAAGAAAACTAAAACCTTTGAAGTTTGAAGTAGTCATCTAACCATAGTTATTTACAATTTCCGCTGGTCTACACTTTAAACAGCATACAACAATCACAAACAGTGTTCTTTTTGTGAAACTAAAACTAAATGATGTAATTTAAAAAGCCCCAGAACAGATTTTAATTTTATCACAATGGAAACAACATTGAGCATTTGACCTTAGAAGTGGTTCTGAATTCTGATATAAAGGCAAAAAGTTCTTCAGCCTATCCTTAACAAAGTAACTTGATGAAAATTAACAAATATATATCGAGTAGTTAAGACAGCATTTTGGTAGTTTTCGTTCCCCTATGTTCCATTGAATTACCTCTAGTGACTCTGGGTCTCTGGCGGTAGGGGTGTGCACCGGTCCAAAACCGGACCGGACTGGAACCGGTTAGGACCGGAACCGGAATGATCATTTTCTGTGGACTGAAGATCGGACCTGAATCTAACCGGTCTGGACCGGTCCGGACCTGAATTTTCCGGTCCGGTCCGGGTTTGACCCTATTTGACCCGATTTTAAAAAAGACATACAAAGTATTATCTTAGAGTGTTCTTAGCCGATCGATTTTTTTTTAGGAATAAAGCTTGGATGTTGTTGTTTCAAATTATAATTTTATGTCTGAATATGCTAAATAGACTAAATAATTATTTAGCTCATTTATTAATTTTGGAATATAATCATCAAAACTATTCAATCGTAACAATTAGTTTCCCACAATAATTAAAACTATAATCTTTTGTGTATATTAAAATGGCAAAATCTATTGTAGAGTAATAAAAACTAAATTACGTCCAAAAATATACTCGTATACACTACATGCACACCTACAAAAAAAGAAACAAATAAAAAGCGATTTGGAAAAATCAAACAAATACAAACTACGATCATAGTAGTGCACACCCGAACAAAAATAAAAAATCATAAACAACTTAGGAAGAAATTAGACAACAAATACACACTTCGTATATATTCGTTTATATAATAAGACAAAAGTAAGCCATAAACATACTAGTAAGCCAAATATAAATTGACTAATGATGTAGAACGAAGTATATATTTTACAGAACAATATGTTACCGGTCCATTCCGGTCCGGACCTGTTTGTTCCGGGTTTGACCCGGACCGGACCAGAAACCCGGAATCTTGAAAAACTAAGGACCGAAACCCGGACAGGTTAATATCGGTCCGGTCCGGTTCAGGTCTAAAATACGGTCCGACCCGGTTAATGCACAACCCTATCTGGCGGCGCATTCACTTGTTGCTGCCTAGTGACACATACAAGTATACAACGCCCAATGCCGACAAACAATGACCCATCCCCGTAGTCCCCGAGTGACCATACTACCCATTACACCCCCAATGCCTTTGACCCCTAATGACGCCGCTCTCAATGACCCAACAACTAGGGACTCCACCTCAATGACTCTAAGAGACCAGTGGCTTCGACCAGTGACACCTCCATCCAACTCAAAGTGCCCTTTTGGAAGAAGGGTTGCCGCAAATGATGTGAATACCTAGCCATTGTGGTTGTAAATCAGAAAACTTAATGTCACTTGTATAAAATTCTAGCTACCGTCACAGATCTAAAAATCTAGGTGCCTCCGTGAAAGCAACCGTCTTTGCCATCACTGCCAATATGAAATCTGCAGCCTCTTACAAGTTACAACAATTGTAGCATGCACAATGTACGCTTAGACTAGCTTTGAAAAAACTTACTTCAGTGAGTGCCTTGATAAAATTTAAAAATCTATCAATCATCGCTCATTATGAAACTAGTCTTAGCTCATTTAAAATAATCTGAAAATAATGAATGCTTTGCGTTTGATGCAAATGGAACGTAAAATGTTTTCAATATACATTTGAATCTCCCTATTCCCAAAAAAAAGACATTTGTACCTGTCATAATCAATCAAGTATATTTATGTATTTATATCAAATGCATTGATCAATTGTTTAATTTAAATGAAAAGTGCATACCTACTTGTCTTGTATGTTGTGTCCATAACGAGAACATAAAGAAAGAGGCATAATAGTCGCAAACTTGCAATGATTCTCGATGCACAAATACAATGTCGTGCAAATCCTCACTTTCTGGGACCGACCTCTTACCTCAAAGTTTTAAGATCAAATGGAGAAATTGTTACATGATAGTATACATTCGTAAGTTTACATCTTGCATTGTATACCTTCTCTATGGATGTAACATTAATGGAGTTTGCCATTTTTAAGCTCTAGAGAATTGGCTTTGGCTTGCATTCGGCCTCAAATAAGTTTCTGACCAAAGACTATTTGTGCTTTGTCAACTTACCAGCAAATGCATGATCCAGTAATCTTGGTGGAATAATGTACGCGTTTGTGATATCCACAACTAACTTGTAACCGGGGCGGTTCTGGGGTAGGGCAACAGGGCGACCGCCCTAGGCCCGAAAAAAGTATAGAAGAAAAAATAGGCCCAAAATCTTTTCTTTGTATATTGTGTGAGTAGGCTTCTTCTTTGATTCTTTCAATTAATTAGGCCCAATGTTTAATTTTATTGACAATTTGAAAATTAAAACATATATAAAAAAATAAACAAAGCCAAGTTTAAAAAAGAATATATATACACTAATTTCATGTTAAGAAGAACCGGTTTTAGTTTTTAAAAGCAATAGGACTGTTGCTGGATCAATAAAAGACACGTCTCTTTACTCTTCACACTTCTTTAGCCTTTAAGGCTTTTTATTCATTTTAATTATAAATTTATAACATAACAAATTTGTATAATTATTTTATAGCCCGTGGTTCCCAAAATCTCATCCCAACTATTTATTTGTTTCCAAATTGAAAAATACTATATCTGAGTTCCTAATAGTAGTTAAAGAGGGTGATAAATTGGCAATCTTTTTGGCGGTCAAACATTTTGTCTCTTTGAAAACCTTCATTTTTCAAGACTTCACACTTTAAATTATTAGCGGTCAATAAATCATTCTCAACTTATGAATTCAAATAGTAATATTTATTTTCATTTATCATTTCAGTTGTAACTAAAAGAAAGTTTAGTGTTGTTATATGTGATAATTTTATTGTTTGTCATACTCATTAGTGGAAAGAAGATTATTGTCTATGATTTTTGCTTCACATTGTTCTACGAGAAACGTTTTTAAGTGACTTTTTTTTTTATTCGATACTCGTGTTGTTACTTTTGCCTAACTATGTAACTTAAATAATAATAAAGTGATCCTCACCTTATTTTATGAACTTCGTTAGATGCTTTTATTATAATTTATATGTAAAATAAGTATATGGTTTACGGTTTATCTTAAATATAAGCCCGAATTAGTGTATCACCCATCGGCCCATAAATGGACAGGACCGGCCTTGCTTGTAAGCAGGGGCGTAGCTAGGGAAGGGCCAACCTTGGCTCTGACACAACCCAAATTTTAAAAATGTAAGTTTTATTGTAAAAAATCTATTTTTTTTAAAAAATATTCTTTGTATCGGCCCAGTCTGACCCTGCTTGTTGCGCCACTTGTCCAGTAGTTTTATTTTGTAGTTTGATACTTCCTGATTTTTCATGCACGAGAAGTACATTACGGTTTTGCACTCGATCATTATTGGCCTGGAGTTTGTACTCGATCATTAGTACCGTGTCTCTTTTACAAGCCTCTATTTGATCTCAATTAATCAAAGAATCACGATCTGCTCAGGTTTTGTTAGTTTGAAAATCCTCCAAAAGATCGTGTGAAATGAATGGTTGTGATTCTTCAATTGGAGATTCAAAAGATAAGTAAATATCTTAACCTATCTTATAAAGGTCAGTTTGTGATATTAAATGTTCATGATTTGTCATAGTTAGACTTTAAAGTGTAGTACCATGTGCTATCATAGTGTCACGTATTAACTGTCTTTCAAATTACCAACCTCACCGTCCAATTCTACAACTAACGGTGTTAACTTCCATTACTACGCTTACTTGTGTTTAATGACACTTACTCTAGATATATCATCTATCTGTTACTCCGTATCATTTTT